GGCATTTGCAATGTTGCATGTATAAAACCAAACTGTACACATCCAATTAAGCATGCAGGTGAATGTTGTCCAACATGTCCTCATTCTACAACAACTCATCCTCGTGAGTAACGTTTGTTCTTTGATGCCCTCGTCTCCTGCAGTTTCTTAAACTAGCCACGAACAAGCATGGTTCTCTTAAACTCATTAGTTTGTGATTCGTATTCTGATACTTTTCTGACTCTGATTCACACTGTAACTATGAGAGCACGACGCTTTCTTGCAACAAAGAGTAGAAGCAGACAACATTCTACGATGAAACACGACATCTCACAAGAAAGAATGTGAGTGAATTGGAACTCTATTGTACTGTGAGTTGAATTGCGATTAGATTGCAGATTGCGTTTGAATGCATTACGGGAGTGTGAAAACTCTCCCAGCGTTGCCGACCGATGTTCATCATTTTAACTGCAGACTGTTTGCCTATTTTGGCCTTAGTGTCGCGTAGAATCTACGGAGTTTATATCAACGGAGTGCGGAGGTCGAAATGGCGGGTGTTAGAGCTACCACGCGTTAGAAAAGCCTTCTTGCCGAATTTCTTCTTTATCATTGACAGCGAGTGATTCCATGACTTTACGGCAAACAGTCTGGGGTTTCCGAATATACGACTGATTAGCATCGTGATCTCACTTTTCTTTAGCACTTTTGTCAATAAATGCGTTTACGGTCGAAAATCTACGTGGCAGCTACGCCATTTAACCACCACTCAAGAAGTGTGTAAGATCTATTACTTTAACGTTTTTCTTTTCTTCATAGGCATTTGCAATGTTGCATGTATAAAGCCAAACTGTACACATCCAATTAAGCATGCAGGTGAATGTTGTCCAACATGTCCTCATTCTACAACAACTCATCATCGTGAGTAACGTTTGTTCTTTGATGACCCTCGTCTCCTGCAGTTTCTTAAACTAGCCACGAACAAGCATGATTCTCTTAACTTATTAGTCACCCGAAATTACGCGGAGTCTCTAATAACATTCTTTTCTCGACTTCACTTTTGATTACTCCTCCCATATATTCTGGCGCATTTAAATGAGGTGAATTGCCGAACTAAACGCCGTTATCTCAAAAAATCAATATTATTGTCATGAATCAATTATTGGGTCATATCTGTTCTCATCCACGATGCTTTGTGATGAATAAATGTTGACATCAGTCACATTTTATTCACTTTGAAAACAGGCATGTATTGACGACCACTCTCCAAAGTTGCAGAAAAATGTATGTGGCAGCTACGCCATTTAACCATCACACAAGATGTTTGTAAGGTCTATTACTTTAACGTTTTTCTTTTCTTCATAGGCATTTGCAATGTTGCATGTATAAAACCAAACTGTACACATCCAATTAAGCATGCAGGTGATTGTTGTCCAACATGTCCTCATTCTACAACAACTCATCCTCGTGAGTAACGTTTGTTCTTTGATGACCCTCGTCTCCTGCAGTTTCTTAAACTAGCCACGAACAAGCATGGTTCTCTTAAACTCGTTAATTTCTGATTCGTATTCTGATACTTTTCTGACTCTGATTCACACTGTAAATATGAGAGCACGCCCTATTCAGAAACTTATACATTTCTTGACAAGATCCTGAAGAAATCCGGCCAGGATTTAGCTGGCTTTTTGGTAGGATCCTCCGAAAATCTTACTATCTCTCGTGAAATTTCTCCATGCGTTCTCATTTAGAAGCGTTTACAAATGACGTTAACTCCTTTTTTATGGACTACCTAACCTCACCTGTGTAAGCGCCCGTTGCTTAAGTTGTAATCTTTTCTCCGCGGCCAAAAGATTGAACTGCAACTACTTCTGTATGCCAATCTTTGCTCTTTTCCAGAGAGAGACATAATACGTAAGTGTGAAACAAATGTCAATAGAAATATGTCTTGGATATAGGTTACAACTAGGTTTGTACAGAGTGCTGAGAGGTTTTCTATCGATTTTTAGCCACAAATAAATATTACTTCTGTTCTGTTGTGATTTTTGCTCAGAAGGACTGGATAATGAGTTATGGAAAGTTTTATGGTCTGTGATACACATTTCGTTCCTAGCACTATACATGTCAGTGGTGTGACAGGCGGCCATACATCAAACCTTCTTTTATGCATACAGTTTTCTGACGTAAGAGCTCTCATATTTACAATGTGAGTCACACTGCAAATGTGGGAGCACGACTTTTCTTGCAATCGAGAGTAGAAACAGACAACATTCTACGATGAAACACGAATTCTCACAAGAAAGGATGTATATCGTACAGAATCAAACATTCCAAGACTCATCATCCACTCAGTGAGTTTAACCATTTGACATTGTCTTTCATCATCATTCGTATATTCAGCACTTTTTGCTAGACTCTGTCATTCTAACAATCTGATCTGAGAGTGGCCTAAACTAAAAACTCATCTAATGATGGCTATAGAGGAAGCTGATGGTCATCGTACTGAGTAATAATTATATAGATTAATCTCATTATAAAAATATATTAATGTGACATAGCATTCGGTTTCATGTTACATGCGGTTTGTGCCACACACATCTGTGCCATTCCCATCTACCTACACCCCGCTGAGCAACATTTCAGCCATCCCAGTACTTCGCCGCGCTATCCAAACAGCGAGACTTATCAACCTGGCTCTGACAACCACCATCCAAAGTTGCAGAAAAATCTACGCGGCAGCTACGCCATTTAACCATCACACAAGAGGTTTGTAAGGTCTATTACTTTAACGTTTTTCTTTTCTTTATAGGCATTTGCAATGGTACATGCATAAAACCAAACTGTACACATCCAATTACGCATGCAGGTGAATGTTGTCCAACATGTCCTCATTCTACAGAGCGGCCTCGGGTTTAGAGTTTGTTTAGTGGAATGAGTAACTTTGTATTAGTAGTGGATTTTTTTGGAGGGGATTTTCGGTTATTCCTGGGAAGTTGTTTTTTGCGTTCTTGATGGTTTTATTTGATTAGTAGAAATAAAAGAAATAGTGGGTAATGTTGCGTTGAGAGGATTTTCCAAGTTTAAAGTTTTATTTCCCTTTGGTGAGATGTACTTGGTTTTCGTGTGGTAGGTGTGTAGAACGAGAAAAGCATGTGTTTGTATGTTTTGCCTTTAAACGTGTGATTACGGATTGTTTGGGAATGTGGCTTTGTCTTGGTGTTTGGTGTGTTCTTTGCTGGACTCTCACTTCCGCTCTCTACTGGTTGAGGTCGTTTAGCTGCAAGGCACCTCCCTACATATTTTTGGAAAGTTGTTGAATAAAGAGCTTTTCCTAAAGTACCTAGAAGATATATTTTAAAAACTTATTGATTTTCGAAAATATTCTTCCTTAAAAAATTTAAATATCTCGGCTAGCATAAAACATAAGCAAAATATCCTTTAACTATTGGGTAATCAATGTAATTGTCTATAACCAATATACGATTAGGTTTAAACTTAGTTTCCTCAATTTCTTATGTCTGTTTGAATGAACTTTAAACAGTTAAGACGTCTCATATAGAAGAATGTGCAGATCCAAAATCGGGACAGATTATGCTGTATTTGGTTTTTCTTCAGAATGGATTGCTTGTTGCATACTTCCATGTTTTTATGCGTTAGTAAAATCTTTTTAGGTAAAAAAGATCAAAAAGTTAGACTTTATTTTGTTCTGAATTTAATTCTCTATCATGCACGGTACATATAATTTCACGGTTCTTCCAAAAACTATGTCAGCTGAATATTGCGAAAATACGTTGATTTCTACAGAAAAAGGTGTTAGTAAATATAAAAGAATGTGTTGCTCGAGAAATTACTATTTTCGAGTATTTCCATTGGTTTTATTTACTATGCATCTCCAACGAAAACTAAACACATAGTTAAATCATTGGACAAGAATGAATCGAATGCTATGCAGCGGAATAGACCTCAGAAAATGTATAATGCTTTCTTTCCTTTAGTCTCGTTGTACGTACTCATTATTTAGATAAAATAATAGTAATTAAATGATCAAAATATTCTAAGATCACCGTGAAGATCTACAAAAGCCAATCTTTGATGGAATATTATCTGGTCGAGACTATTGAAGAAATGTGCGTTTGTAGTGGTCTATTTTTATTCAATTTAAGAACGTTTCCGAATCTTCTTCAGTTAGCCATAATTCAGCAAATTTTTAATGCGAAATTTGTACTCCTTAGGGAGAATCAAAGATAGATGTTAACAACCCTAAAATAGAAAACCTAATCCTTTTAGAAAACGAGAAAGGATAAAATTGAATCACGCTTTTCACACTTATACAGTTAGCATTCGCTTTTATATATTGCGATAGACATGTATTTACGATAGACAGTAGTTTTCAAATTCGACATCGATAGTTTTTTGTTAGGTGTTAAATTTTTCTGAAGTCTAAAAAATTTCACAGAAAATTTCAGAAAATGTAACAAGTTACAAATTTATTGATACTTTTTTGTAAATTAATCTGGGATGTATTATTTTTTTCTCATTCAATCTGTATACATCACTATTTTTATTATTTTCTTTAAAATGACCAGAAAGGTCGAAAATTTCAGATAAGAAAGGAAATGTTTAAAGTTGCAATTATCTTATATTTTATATCTTCAAAGAAGAGAGTGCTCACTCTAAACTTATTTTGTATTCTTCCAACTGGCAAAGTATTTTCAGAAAAATGAAAGGGAGCACTTTCGATCTATAAAAAAATTTTATCCGGCATTTGGGAAGATTCCCTCTTAAATAGTTATTATATTTCTACTAAATTATATTTCAAAAAAATATTCCCGTTTGTCCTGGCATTGCAAAAACTGGCTTTTTGCAACGAAAATCAGCGATACATCTCAAAAACTAAAAAGGATTCTTTTCTAAAAAATGATCATTAACATGTACAACTCGCGTACTTTAAACTAATACAAAAAATGGAAATGGATCTTCTCTAATAAATGTAATTTGAATTCGCGAAGTTGGTAGAATACGAAATAAGTTAAAAGTGAGCATTCTTTTTCTTGAATATATAACAGATGAACATTTGATGAAAATATAAAATTTGTTATTTTTTAAACAGCAAAACAAAAAAAATTCTCTTATAGAAAATTCTAAATAGTATCCGAGTCGAATAAACTGTAAAAGAAACTATGTGTTTTTGATCGATTGATAAAAGAATAATCTTTCAAAACATAGCGGTTAATTGTCTTTGAAGAAATAAGTAAGCAAATTAATTACGGAAAAAAGCAGAATGGATCCGTATACTAAAATTTCGATAAAAATAGCAGAAATGATTTCCGGGTTTAGAAAAAAAATATCTTCGAAGAAATTGATCCCGGAATAAACTAATTTTTATATTTATTGTGCAGAATTGATCTCGAAAAACATTTTTCTTTCTGTCAACAACAGAACTGATCCGGTTGACGTGTGGTGCGAGTGTGAAGAAGCCTGCATGGCGTTGAGATATAAACAGTAGCAATACTCACATCTTTTTTCATTCATATCGCTTTTGACCATTACTAACACTATTAAACAAAGTATGACTCGCAATATATGGCTATTAGTTTCTACGTATTCAACGAAACTGATTTATTAAGTTTTATGAAAACTTCAGATGTCTACAAAAATCCAACTGAACAATTCATTGCTGATTTATCAGTTACATAGACATTTTTACAGTACCGAAAATATCCTCTATGCGAGTATAAATTGAAAGCTAAACAAACTTCTGATCGTATTTTCACAATTTATGCATCAAAATTCTCATTCTCACAACGACCGTAACAAAGATACACGTGTTCCATTTCCTGTACGTGGTAATATTCGTCTAATGTATGAAAAGGGTTTGATGGATACTGCATTTATTTGTATTAAAATATAAGAGTATATAGAAATCAGCAAGAGGATCTTATGTGATCACTACACACCTCAATCCGAATCAATTCTGTCGTTGACAGAAAGAAAAATATTTTTCGAGATCAATTCTGCATAATAAATATAAAAAGTAGTTTATTCCGGAATCAGTTTCGTCGAAAATATTTTTTTTCTAAACTCGGAAATCATTTCTGCTATTTTTATCGAAATTTTAGTATACGAAATCCATTCTATAATTTTTACAGGATCTAAACAATTATCGTCCATTAATTAAAAGGCAAAACAAAATTCCTGTATCCATCTATATAAAAATTATCTATTTAAAATGAAATGTCGTGCAGTCGCGGTCTGCGACTCGCGAAACACCAGAACACAGGAATAGCGACCGAGCGACTAGAATAGATTTTAAAACGCTCCCTAAGTTGATCAACACGTTTCCAGTGAATTGTGAATAATCACCCGCACAGACAGTTTGCTCGTTGTCTACGGTTAACTTTAGCTATAGTCCTCATCAATAAAAATAGTGATGGGTACACATTGAATGAGAAAAAAGTAATTTATCCCAGATTAATGTACAAAAAATGTCAATAAACTTGTAACTTATTAAATTTTCTGAAATTTTCATCGAAACTAAGGTTTTCGTATGATGGGCAGTCGTATAACTCAAAAACTGAACGGTATCTTATCCTAAACGAAGACTGGACCTAGAGTACAACTCGTAATGCTGACGAATTATGGATGTTTCTGAAAATTGTCTAACTATTTTTGTACAAAAAAAAATAAAGATTTTTTCTGAAAGTTTCTCTTTTCTCATAAATAAAATATTTATATTTAATGTCCTTTTTCCTATATTCTTCGTTTAACTATAGATGCTAATTAAAACATTTTGTAACATCAAATAATATACCGGTTAAATAAACATACAAATCAATTAAGTAAAGTATAGTACAGAAAAAAATATTTATATACATAAAAATTCCGAGAAGACGAATTGATCAAAAATTTACATGCATGTTCTTTCTATTATACGATAGTTCTATATTCTTTTCTTCAGGCAGATTGAATAATACTGTTCTCAATTTTCTTTCCAATCCAGGTGAAAATATTCACCAGTGAATAAATTCATCGATGCGAATTTTGAAGACTTCCCTTAAAATCTAGTTCATTTAGTTTATGAGGCAGAAGCAATTAATATTGCTTATTGATCATTTTTCAGCTTACTGTTTTGTTATGCATCTCAAAAATACACGGTGAAAAAAAAATGTAAAACACATGACAGCATTTTTTCACAGTTTCTTGCAGTCAGTTTGGAATGGTTTTTATTCACAGTTTTGGTTTTTTCATGCTTTTGTTTTCTATGGTTGTAATATGACGATTTTGCTTTGACGGTTGTAAGAACTGTCGAAGTAGAGTTGTGCCAGCAAAGCCGCTCACTTTTAAAGGGAAGGAGAAAAGAACAGCTTCTCCAAGAATATAACCTGGGCACAGTGGGCATATAGGCGGAAATTAGGCGAAAAAGCAAAGTTGTCCATTTTCCAAATATAAATAGTGGAAAATGTACCTCTTTTCACGGGCTATCGAATAGTGTATAAATGGCTGTTTTGATATTGACTTCTT